GTTAACAGAGGCTGTCCTTGCCTTGTTCTCAATTTTATGGGTAAATTATCCATTTTCTCACTATTAAGTATAATGTTGTTGTGTTAGTCACTCAGTTGTGTCCAACTCTTTGTGACCCCATGGAAGGTAGCCCACCAGGCTCCTCAGTTCATGGGATTCTCCAGGCAAGAATACTGGAGTGGGTTGCCATTCCCTTCTTCACAGTATAATGTTACCTGTAAGTATTTTGTAGACGTTCTTTATCAAATTGAAGGTGTTTCCCCCTATTCCTAGTTTGCTGAAGGTTTTTATCATGAAGGTGTGGTATAAATATTTCTACAAAAATAAAAGAAAAATCCTACCTCCTTAATAAATCAATTTGTTTTTCCTACCTTCAAGTTTTATTGATTTTTAATAAATAAAATATACTCATATAATGGGGAAGAGATTATATGTTGTATAATTATGTAAACATGGGTAGACACAGGCTTAAAGTTTCCCCAGGCATACATAATATTATATTTGGTGATAACAATGTAAATTTAATTTTGTCTATTACTTTTTCCACTTAAAGTTATAGCATAGGCTATTTTCAATGTTCCTTTACAGATTTCAAAATCGCATTTTTAAGTGTCTCCAAATTCAATCTCTATAGTTCATTCATTAATTCATTTCAAATTATTTATTAAGCATCCACTATATATCAGGTTGGGAAGACATACACTTCCTAAAGTAGGATATGGCAATACTTCAGTATTCTGGAAAATTCCATTGTCAGAGGAGCCTGGCAGGCTACAGTCCATGAGGCTGCAAAGAGTCAAACACAACTGAGCGCACACGTGCACGTGCACACACACACACACACACACACACATCAGAAATACAAAAAATAAGACACAACACTACTTTTGGGTACCTCACAGTCATAATAACAAATGTAGACTACTGTGTATTCTAAGTTACCTTGATGGCAATATGAGCAGATTTTTGGCAGCTTGGAGGTTGAATGGGGGCATTTAACTCAGTGGAGAGAACAAGAAATACTTCTCCAAAGAAGTGACATTTGATGGGACTCTTGAATGACTGATAAGAATTTTCCAAATGAAGAAGCAGTAGTATTACAAATGTTTAAAGCTGTAAAAGAGTCTAGAATGTTTCAAAAACAATTTAATGACTCAGAAGCTTGAAGTTAATTGAGGAGAACAATAAATGAAGATAATAAGGTAGATTAGGATTGTACAACATGCTGAGTTTTAGAATAGGAAATCTGGTTTCCCACATGGAATTAGTAGAAGCCAGTAAGCAGTGGGCTGACAGGATCTGCTTTGAATTTAGCAGGATACTTAAGAAGTGGTGTGGAAGATAAAGATACATGTAACTCCATGGCTGATTCATGTCAATGTATGACAAAACCTACTACAATATTGTAAAGTAATTAGCCTCCAACTAATAAAAATAAATGAAAAAAAAATTCTACATCATACTAAGATCATAATTTATTAAACCATTTGCCTATTTTGGGAGGGGCCATTTTAAGTGATTTCTAATTAATAGCTATTTTAAATAATATAAATATCTTCATGCATTTGATTTTATATTATTTTGCAATTTTCTTTACAACAAATTTTTATAAGATAAAAATATCTTATTCAACACCTTTTGAAATGAATTTGATGTATTTCATTAGTTTGTTATGCATTATGTAAAATTTACTTCTTTTTTCTATATGTACCTTTCTCAATGTAATTCAGCATACATCTATTAAATATCTACTAAGTGCTATTTATAATTTTATATAGTGTGGGAAAGATCATAAATATAAGTCAAGGGGTTTACAATCGAATTGGGGAGATAAAGAATATATAAACTATGAGACATTATGGAGGTCTCTGAATCCTAAGCTGAAAAACATAAACTATAGAAAATGGAGCAGCATCCAAAAGTTTTATTAGAGAAGAGATACAGTCATACCCTTCTAGAAGGAACACTTTGGTTGAAATTTGTAGGATAGGTTAGAAGAGACTTGAAAAGAGACTTGTGAAAACATTATTAGCAGCCAACAAGAATGAGATCTTGAAGTATGGGGCAAAGAAATGGGAGTGATCAATTCAGGATTCTGAAATTCAAAAATTCTTCTCTAAAAACCAGAGGAAAATCATCTCTAATGTGGGCAAAGCCAAAGAACACTCTCCTTTATGGCCATTTAATGCTCAGTAATACCCAACATCCAAATATCTTTTTGTTTATGGAAAAAAGGGAAGACTCTCTCTGCCCTTTGTTGTTTAGTCTCTAAGTCATGTGGACTCCTTTGCAACCCCTTGAAATGTGGCCTGGCAAGCTTCTCTGTATGATTTCCCAGGCAAGAATGCTGGGAAGATTGCCGTTTCCTTCTCCAGGGGATCTTCCAACCCAGGATTCGAACCTGTGTTTTCTATATTGGCAGGCAGATTCTTTACCACTGAGCCACCAGAAAAGCCCTAAAAAGGAAGTGCATGCGTGCGTGCTCAGTCATGTTGGAATCTTTGTGATTCCATGGACTTTAGCCCACCAGGATCGTTTGTCCATGGGATTGTCCAGGCAAGAGTACTGGAGTGGGTTGCCATCTCCTACTCCAAGAGATCTTTCCCACCCAGGAATCGAACCCACATCTCTTGCATTAGAAGGCAGATTCTTACCACTGGGCCACCTGCAAAGCCCAAAAAGGGAAAAGGGGATCCAAATTGGTTAAGGTAACTGTCCATATGAAAACAATTTTTAAAAAAGTTGAAAAGTCATCATTTGTGATGTTTCAGTGAAGGCTAATATAGATACTGTGCTATTTTATGTGATCAGTACAACACCCCTGTGTGTGTGTGCTAAGTCACTTCAGTCATGTTCAACCCTTTATAACCATATGGACTTAGCCCACCATGCTCCTCTGTCCATGGGACTATCCAGGCAAGAATACAAATGTGGATTGCCATGCCCTCCTCCAGGGCATCTTCCCAACCCGGGGATTGAACCTGTGTCTCTTGCATCTCCTGCATTGGCAGGCAGATTCTTTACCACTGAGCTACCTGGGAAACACTTGAGGATTTTGCTAAAAAGGCAGGTTTCAATTCAGTAGGTCGGGGTAGGGCCTGAGATTCTGCATTTCTAACAGTCTCCCAAGAGATACCTCTGCCTGCTAGTTCAGAGATCATACTTCAGGTGGCAAGGATTTAGAGTAGCGATTCTCAAATACAGTGTATTATGTTGGGCATTAAATGGTTCTGAGACCAGTGCCAGTGTGTGTGGGTATGTATGTGCATGGGGGGGGGTGGTCCCCAGACACCAACAAACAATGTTCAGATACTAGCAAGATGTCCAAGAATTAAACTCAATTCTGTTTACCCAGAGATAGTTTCAGATTCCACAAATTGAGAGGTCAGTCCTACAAGACTGCCCCCTCGGCCCTACTGCAGACACCAAGTCATAAACTTAGGTTATTACAAGTGCTTCTGACCAACTGGCTACAGTTTGGAGATTCCAGTGACCCCTCCTTGGACTTTGGACTTCAGATGCCAGTTGTTACCAGGTTGTTACCTATACTTCTGACCAACTGGCTATAAACCAGAAATTCCCAGGACCCTTTCCTTGGGTTTGCTTAATTTGCTAGAACAGCTCACAGAACACAGAAAACCCATTTGTTTACTCACTGGATTACCAGTTTCTTATAAAAGTATGTAGCTTGGGAACAGCCAAAGGGAAAGATGCACAGGGAAAGGACACTGAGCTTCCACGCCCTCTCTAGGCACGCTGCTCTCCTGATCTTTTCAGGTTCACCAACCTGGAAGCTCCCTAAATCCTACTCTTTTGGGTTTCTATGGAGGCTTCATGACATAGGAATGATTGATGAAATCACTGGGCATTGGCTACTGACTGATTCAACTTCCAGTCCCTCTCCCCTCCCCAGAAGTCAGAAGGGGGCAACTGAAAGTTACAAACCTGTAATCACAGGGCTTGCTCCATTGGTAACCAGGCCCACCATTAGCTGCTTTCTAAGAGTCACCATACTAACACAACAAAAGACTTTAATCACTCTCAACACTTGGGAAATTACAAGCGTTCTGGGAGCTCTGAGCTAGGAACTATGTAGAAAGACCAAATATATATGAGAAATATATTTTGACCATCTAGATGACCAAATATACATTTCTTATAAATCACAATATCACAGACATTTAATTTATTTCATTTTTATATTATAAATAATGCTATCAACATACATTAACATAAATTTTTGTCTACAATACTGAATCTTTCTTTAAATGGCTAAGTGTCAAGGGTTTTCATATTCTTGCCACATTACTCTCCAGAAAACATTGTACTGAGATTTCGGTTTTGCTAACACTGAGTAATTGTCTTTTAAATGAGTGAAAATAAGGTAAAACAGGAACACATAGTGGACAGAATTATAAATTAGTACAGTGTTTCCTGGAGAATAGTGTTGTAAGGACATGAAAAACCTTGAAACTAGTACTCAGATGGGCAGTTCTCACTTGGAATCTCTTGTCATTTTAATCAGGTGACAACTAAGACTGGACACATACTATGACCTCTTTGCTCCCATGTTTAGAACATCAGCTGGGATAACTAGGACTTCTGGGGGTTGGCTGCACATCTCTCTATCATAAACATGCTCTTCATGTGGCTAGCTCGGGCTTCCTCACAGGGTGATGGTCTCAGGGTAGCTGGACTTGTTACACAGCTGCTGACTTCTACTAGAGGAAGCTTTCTAAGAAACCCAGGTGGGAGCGACAAGACTACTTACCCACTTAGTCTTGGAAGCCATTCAGTATCATTCCAACTCATCATAAAGACAACTCAGATTCAAGGGGAAGAGACTGCATGAGGGTGCAAATCCTGGGAGATATAAAGGGATGTGTGGTATAACCTTTTTTTTAATTGGTGTTTCAGATAACTTTTCAAATGTTAATTGGCTGTTTATAAACCATGACCTTAATTCTCAAGCTGGTATGAATGCTTTTTATTTACTACAGGAAGAACCTGAAGAAGAAAGGCCAAGTATTTACAAGTCAGTGATCATCAACACTTCTAAGGAGATGATGTGCTTCAGTGACTATCCCATCCCAGATCACTATCCTAACTTCATGCATAACTCCCAGGTCCTGGAGTATTTCAGGATGTATGCCAAAAAATTTGACCTTCCAAAGTATATTCAATTTAAGGTAGGGAATTTTGTGAGTAACCCTCTCTGTGTTTGAAGTTGTTTGCAAAGTAAATGAATAATGTGTTCATTTGGCAATACTTATGTGCAGCTTTGTTTGATGTGCTCATGTATTTATCCAATAGACTTCACACTGTGTCTTCTCTCTGACTGAAAAATATCTATGGGGCAGTCCCTCTTCTATGTATTTTGACTACAGATCCAGGAGCAACCTTCATTTCATTGCCTTCATTCTGTATCACTTGATTATAATAAACAAATGAGAACTGACACGTATGGGCACTTTGAAAGCTTCTGGTGCCACAACTTGTTCCACAACTTGCCACTTAGCCTTTTATGCTTTCTGAAGGGCTTGCCAATGCATTTTTTATGTGATCATAACAACCCCATGAATTAGTTATTGAACAGTTATGAGAAAGCAAATAAGTTAACTCTGGTGTAGAAGAAAGAACACTGAATTGGGAAAAAAAAATCTTAGTTCTAGTCTTTGTTCTGCTGCTGATCTACTTGTGACTTCAGGCAAGTAAGTCCCTCAACTTTGATGTGTCTTAGTTTTATTTGTAAAACAAGATGATTGTAGTATATCACCTCCTTGGTTCCTTCCTGCTGTAAAATCTTCCATGATAGTTCTATCATTTTAAGCCATGACCATAAAAGAACCAGTATTTCTGACAGCTGGCAAAAAGCCCAAATCTTCTACTTTCTGATCATTCTACTAAATCATGCCTTTTTCTATTTAACAACAAAATTAAAAATGGCCATATCTAGTGACAACTTCCAAAGTCAGTCATTTACAGCCTAGTGGTGCTTCTCTTCCCTTGTTAAAAACACTTAGGTCTGTTATCACATTAAGCAGTGAAGAAACAAATACCAAAACAACAACAACAAAAAAAAAACAGTGATTTAACAGTCTAGTTAAGGAGACAGAAAAGTGAAAATTTCATTGGAAGCATAATTAATAAAAATACAGAGTTACAGTGTGATAAGTGCTCTGAGATACATTGCAGCTCAGAGGTGGGACACTTAACCCATCAGAGCTTGAATTATCAGGTACCAAGGACGTTTTCTTAGAGGAGGTAACACCAAACTAAATGTTGAAGGGTGAGTATCTCCAAATGAAGAAAGCATAAAAGGATGATCCAGGTAGAAGCACCAGCCTGTGTAAAAGTAAGAACATGATAGAGAGGAACTATAAATAATATAGGATCACTTGGGTATATAAGAGTGGTATCTCTATTAGTCCATCAAGACATTATGGTCATAAATCCTAGAAGCACATAGGACATACTCTTAATGTTTCCTTAGACTAGGTAGAGTAACCTGTATTTGTTTTTAAAGCTAAAAACTGTACCACTGATTATCCCATCTTGTATCTTCTTTCTTTCTAGTTACTTGTAAAGTGGGCATTTATAGGAGTCAAAGAAGTTCATTTACACAGAACATGAGCCACTGAGATGTTTTTCTACTCTTTTAGGAAAGGGAGCCTTATTAGCTCAGTCATATGTTTAAGATTAGACAGTGAGATCAAAACTTGAGATAAGAAGGCATCAGAGGATCTCAGGATGTCTGGGAGTATGGGGAGGAATAGGCATTTAGTGCATCGAGTGTCTTAAAAACACAAGAGAAGCCCAAATTTTATTCAAGTATCATATTGCCTTAGGGTATGGTCCAAGAAGGGCTTCCCAGGTGGCACAGTGGTGAAGAATCTACCTGCCAATGCAGGAGACACAGCAGACTTTGATCCCTGTGTCAGGAATATCCCCTGGAGGTGGAAATGGCAACCCACTCCAGTATTCTTGCCTGGAAAATCCCATGGACAGAGGAGCCTGGTGGGCTACAGTCCAGGAGATGTCAAGAGTCAGACACGACTAAGTGACTGAGCATACACACACGCATGGCCTAATGAAACTAGTAATTTGCACTTTTATAGGAGAGGACAGTGCAACATTAATTTCCCAACTCGTTTGAATTAGGTTCTCATGAAAGTTTTCTCACTCTGACCAAGGTGGTGGTGGTTGTGATGGTTTAGTTGCTAAGCTGTGACCTACTCTTGTGACTCCATGGACTGTAGCCTGCCAGGCTCCTCTGTCCATGGGATTTTCCCAGGAAAGAATACTGGAGTTGGTTGCCATTTCCTTCTCCAGGGGGATTCTTTCTGACCCAGGGATCGAACCCTGGTCTCCTGCATTGCAGGCGGAATCTTTACCAACTGAGGCATGGCCCAAGAAAAGTAGTCATTTGTACTCTTCTAGGAGAGGATAGTGCAACGTTAGTCTGCCAACTCTGTTTTATTTAGCTTGCCTCGTGAAAGTTTTCTCACTCTGACCGTAGCCCCAAACAAAAGAAGTTCTTATTTGTAGAGTATGAAAATCAAATATCCCTGCCTTAGCCCTCTTATGTGGTATCTGCCCTTTGTGTAACCCCCTGCAAAGACAGACCTGTCAGGGAAGATGACCACTGCATAGGCTGTGGCTTCAGTCCCCTGTGGCGACCCTTTTTCTTCTTAGACCACTGTGTGCAGTGTGAAGAAGCAGCCTGATTTCCCCACTTCAGGCCAGTGGGAGGTGGTCACGAAATCTGAAGGGAAAAAGGAGGTGCATGTCTTCGATGCAGTTATGGTTTGCACTGGCCATCACACCTATGCTCACTTACCCTTGGAAAGCTTCCCTGGTAAGTAGCCTACTAAGAGGGAAGATCCTTGAACCATGCCTGTGACCTGGTCCCTAAAGAATGGTCTGAGTGATTCCTACCTTGGGATGAAACAAGGCTTATCCTAATTCTGCATATTCTCCTGAAAAATGTTGCAGTAACTTGTATTAATAATATTTGGGAGGTAGAGGTAACAGTAACATGGGAGACTAGAGGAAAATTAGAAGGCTTTATATTTAGTTTCACAATGACTAGAGTTTTTCTAAGGATAAAAAGAGTTGATCTGCATTAGATTGAATGAGGGCTTTTAAAAAAAATTTTATTGGTGTATAGTTGATTTAAATATTGTGTTTTGAAAAATTTCTGCTATATAGCAAAGTGAATCATATATCCAATCTTTTTTAGATTCTTTTGCCACACAGGTCATTACAGAGTATTGAAAAGAGTTCCCTGTGCTATACAGCAGGTCCTTATTATTGCTGTTTAGTTATCAAGTTGTGTCAGACTCTTTTGCAACCCCATAGACTGTAGCCCACCGGGATCTTTTATCCATGGGATTTCTCAGGTAAGAATACTGAAGTCAGTTGCCATTTCCTTCTCCAAGGCATCTTCTCAACCAAGGAATTGAACCCATGTTTCCTGCATTGGCAGGTGAATTCTTTACCACTGAGCCACCAGAGACCCCTTATTAGTTATCTGTTTTATATACAGTCGTGTGTATATGCCAATCCCTGGGTCCCAGTTTATCCCTCCCCCACTTTTCCTCACTGGTAACTGTAAGTTTGTTTTCTATAACTCTTTCTGTTTTATAAATAAGTTCATCTGTGCAATTTTTTTAGACTCCACATATAAGAGATACCATATGATATTTGTCTTTCTCTGACTGACTTCACTCAGTTTGACAATCTTTAGGGGCATCCATGTTGCTGCAAATGACATTATTTCATTCTTTTTCATGGCTGAGTAATATTTCATTGTATAAATGTACCACATCTCTTTATCCTGAATGAAGACTTTTTTTTTTTTAGCAATGGAGGAAACAAACAGAAATATTGAGTTTATAAGCAAGAAAATAAAGCTTAAAGAAAGAGTTAAATTACAGTCTTTGGCCTGGATTTTCATTTTGAGGGGGAAAAAATACTATGTATGTGCTCAGTTGCTCAGTTTTCAACTCTTTGTGTTACCACTGGAGTGGGTTGCCATTTCCTCCTCCAGACGATCTTCCCAACCTAGGGATTGAACCCAGGTCTTCCTGCATTGCACATGGATTCTATGTATACTCTAGAGTATATAAAAACATATATACTACAATTGAAATGGAAGTAGGTATTTACAGAAGATGAAGAGAGGGTGGGGTGGGCAAAATAGGCAAAGGGGATTAAGAAATACAAGCTACTAATTATAAAATAAGTCACAAGGAATATAATATACAGCACAAAGAATGTAGTCAAAATACTATAATATTGTTAGAGAAGGAAATGGCAACCCACTCCAGTGTTGCTGCCCAGAGAATCCCATGGACAGAGGAGCCTGGTAGGCTGCAGTCCGGAGGGTCACAAGGGGTCTGACACAACTGAGCATCTAAGCCACTATAATATTTTAATAAGTTTGAATGTTTCATAGTCTATAAAATATCAAGTAACTGTGTTATACATCTGGAACTGATATAAGTCAACCTCAAAAAAAAGAAGAAGATGAAAAAACAAAAGAGAATGGAGGTTTTCTGAAGTAGTTTGGATTTGTGAGTCCACAAGTCCAAAATACAAACAGATCCTTAGTTAAGCAGACTACTTATGATAAGGAAATCAGAAGGTTTGACTCTGAAGCTATGGGAAAAGAAAACATGCAAAAATATTCAAAAAGGTGACAGTGCACTTGAATAAAAAGAGAACACATGGAGAATATATGCATAAACTCTACACACTGCACAAAAATTGAATGATTTAACAAATAATATCAGATAAACCATTACCCAGTAATTATTTTTCCTTCTCTTGTAGGAATTGAGAAGTTCAAAGGACAATACTTCCATAGTCGAGATTATAAGGATCCAGAGAGTTTCACTGGAAAGAGAGTCATTGTAATTGGCATTGGGAATTCTGGAGGGGACCTGGCAGTGGAAATTAGCCACAGGGCCAAACAGGTTTGAATTAGTAAAATTATTTACTTTGCTTCACCAAGGAAGCTGCAGGTGGACCCAACAGAGTATATATACCTGCACACAGCCCATCAGTGCCAATGGCAAATGTAGGGATTGGTTGTGTTGCCTCAATTGGCAACATCATGATTGATGATGTCACTGAGCCAGTTTAGAAGTTAAGATTTCCATCATTCATCTGGCCTCACTCTAAGGAATTCAGACATGATCAAGGACTGTGCCCATAATCTCACTCAGCTGTTTCTTCGGAGTGTGCCTCTGGCTTTGAATAAGACCAAGTGATTGCTGGGAGAGCTTGTTGGAATGCAGCATCCACAGTGTGGACCACCTGTTGGCCAGCATAAGTGCTAAGCTCTTATTTTGAAGGAAAGTGTACTGGGTCATTGAAAACTTTTCACTCATAGGCTGGTAGGGGAATTTCCCCCTTCACTCTTCTTCACTCCCCAAATGAAGGAAAAAAAAGCAGTCTGTCGGGGTCCAGCCCCAGCAGGATCCAGGGGAACCCTTAGGATGAACGGCGTCGGTGAGAGAAAGACACGCAGGACCGGCCTTGATAGGGCCAAGTCTGCTAGGGAGAGAGAGAGAGAGAAAGAAAGAGACCAGACCAGGAATATGCAGCAGAGTCTGGCAGTTGCTTTATTTTTTACCATCGCCTTTATACCCTAAGTTGGTACATTTCTAAGGGGCAGATAAGCACACAGACTTGGTTTAACATTACATCAGCTTGTCCTTCATGAAACCAGGTGTGCTCTGTATATTTTTTGTTTATGAGAGTCTTTTCCCATAGATTTTTTGTACATTATCTTTTGGCCTTGAGGTTAGCAGAAAACAGAAAATTGGCAGTCTCATGGTACAGCAAATTGCAACATAATAGAAATACAATCTTGTTAACATAAAAGACAGTCTTTTTGTAGAAATTCTCAGCTAAATTTACCTAAAAAGTTTAACACACAAAGACTCTGGCTCTGGTGAGGCAGCCCCTATTTAGCACTGTTGGTTAAAATTAACAATTATCTTACTGTTTTTACACTAGGGCTAAACTCTTATTTTACTATATCTTTTAACTATATTAATAATAGTTTCCACTGCACAACCTCAGCACATTAACATCAATCAAACGTTGATCTAATAACCACTTTTAAAACAATATTTTTTGTATTTTCTAATAGGGCTTCTTCACCCCGCAAAGGGCTCTGTGCCTATTAGGGTCTTTTTTTATGGTTAACCTCTATGTATAATATCTTTTGCTCTTCAGGTCCGTTGACAATTTATGGCTTGCACCTGGTGCAGCTTTTAGCAACTTCAGTAGCTGACCCTGTCTTTTTTGTGGTTAATCTATTTTCTTTCTATTAGGTGTCATCTCTATGGGAACTAGATAGGATTACATTTTTATAGAACAGAAATGCAAAGGATTGCAAAAACAGCAGATATGGCACAAAACAGGCTCTTAGTCCAAAAGTTAATTACCTGTAAGAAGTCACCAGCTAACCTCTATCTAAACTATTTTCTATTAGGCACATTTGTGGCTATAATATTTGTGGAGCTTTTCTCACCCCGCAGAGGGACCTATGCTTAATAGTTTCTTTTGTTAGCATACTGTGCTTAGGATGTTTAGAACAATCATGAGCATTTTGTGCAATGAGAGCACATATTTATCAAACAAGCCAGAATGCCAGCAAAAGGGTTTAAATTGAAGCATTTTCTTCATCCCTGGCCCCTTCATAGGGTACCAGCGTCCAGGAGATTTATTAATTAGGGTTTTAAGTTGGTCCTCATTCAGTGAAAGAGGAGCAGGAGAGCTCTCGGCAGGCAGCACAAGAACAAACAAGAACAGCAGAAAAGGAGGGGAGGATACAGGGTGGGGTAGAGGCCGGGGCCAACCTGGAGGGTCCCTTATCCTAGACGGCCTTGCCTGTCAGGTGTTTCCCTCGTGACCTCGTCATGGATGGGGTCCCGGATGGCCTTGCCTGCCCGGTATTTTCTTCATGACCTCGTCACGGGCGGGGCCTCTCATAACAGCTCCCGGCACAGTCTAATCCTCTAAAGACAACATGGACATCAGTATGAAAAGCATCCATATGATAGCACATGCAAGCAGCTCTCCCCAGCTTCTGTGTACAATTAGTTAACATAGAGTAACATCCACTGTAAAGCCATTTCTATGTCCTTGAGGGTTTTCTTTTCTTTTTTTTTTTTTTTTGTATCATAGATTTTGAACTGGGAAGAAAGTATCTTCATTATAAATTCCTAGAAAAAGACATCATTGTCTTTATGGAATCATAAAGATTCATGTCTTTATGGAATCATTACTTTTTTGGCATAGTTATATGCCTGGTTGTTCTTCAGTAACTTTAATTAAACATACATTTTATTTATTTATTTTTTAAACATACATTTTAAATTACTTTTATTTATTTAAAAAAGATAAGCTTTAGAGAAGAAAAAAAAATGAAAGAAAGAGAAAAAAAGAAGAAAAAAAATAAAAAAATAAAAAAAAATTTAAAAGATAAGCTTTTTAAGTTTTTTTAAATTAAAAAATTTTTTTTTCCTTTTTTTTAAATGTATTTGTTTATTTATTTTACTTTACAATATTGTATTGGTTTTGCCATACATCGACTTGAATCCTCCATGGGTGTGCATGTGTTCAATAGAAGTTTAATGCCACAACTTTGTTAAATGACCTTTACCTAGAAACTCCATTCAATAACACTGCTTCTCAAGTTTATCCCCATCTATCACCACAAAATTGATTTTATATGTTACTCCATGAATTAATTCAATAAGCATTTATTAGGAAACAGGTATATAAATAATAAAGGGTAAAAATGTATGTGGGTGATGTGATAAAAGAATGTTCAAAGTATGTGGAAGGGACCCAAGGCATGAGCTTTCTTTAATACCATTGGCTTGTTAAATTGTCAGCTATAGAGAAGCTTGGCCTTACAAGCACTGAGGAACCATAAATTGCCAAAGAACAAGGCAGCAAGAGTGGGTGGAGGTAAGGTGGTTATGTTTCTGATAAAGGTTTGTGACATATGTATTACTGTCACTATTTTATATATAGAGAACCTTTTACTATTTTTTTAAATGGAGGATAATTGCTTTATAATGTATTGGTTGAGAACTTTTTAACTGAAGCTCTGAGAATTTACATTACTTATAACCTGTACTTAAAAGTTATATAGACTGCACACCAAATAATTTGATTCCTAAGACCATGCATGCTCGTACAACTGTGACAAATAAACGTGCTTAATTATGATCATGCTTAAGGTCACCATTGGTGAGAGTACACGTATGAAGTATATGATCATCCCTCTGTAGACAGGTCACCTTTTAACAGGAAGACTTAAACAAAAGACCATAAAACAAGGACTTCCCTGGCAGTACAGTGGTTAAGACTCCACTGCAGAGGGTATGGGTTCAATCCCTGGTTGGGGAACTAAGATCCCACTTGCTGCATGGCATGGCCAAAAATAAACCAAGGAAAGCCCCAAAACAATGTACTCAAATAGCTTACAACCCTGGGAACTATCTTTAGAGAGTGTTATAACATAGACAAAGTGATGCTTTTGCCAAGTAGCTGAATACCAAACTTTTATTAGCTCTGAATGTGGACTTGAGCCAGCAGATGACACAGAGTGACCAGCTCCCCTGTTGTTCTACTTGCAATTTTCGGTTTTTCCCTTAAATAACTGAAACATTTCTTAAGCACAAGCTTTGGTGTAGGTAAGACTTAGGTTAGAAATTCAGCTCTACCACTTAGTAGCTATATGAGTTCAGGCAAATTATTCATCTTTTCCATGTTTCTCATCCATCAAATGGACATAACATTACCTACCTCAAGAGGTATTTATTTATTGATCAAATAAAAATACAGATAAAGAACCTAGTACAGTGACTAACGGGTTATAATTCTCAATAAATGGAAGTGGTGATGATGATATGCTGGGAGCTAAAATATGTATCTGCTATACCTTTCACCTTGGAGAAAATACATTCGGAAAGACAAAAATCAGAATATACAATGCTAAATATCAGTATAATTGATGTTTTTTGTAATAATGCAAACAATGTCAAAGGCCAAGAAAAGATTGAGGGTTTTAGATTAAATGACGTCCACTTGCTGTCAGCTTTACTGTTCCCTGATTTTAAATGAGTTGGACAGGTGATAAGTGCTAGAGAAGTTCAGAAAATGGAGAGAAAATTATCAGCCAGAATGATCAGTGGTATCTTATGGAGGAGGGAGACTTGATTCTGGATCTTAAAAAGGAGTAAGCTTTGGAGAAGTTAGGGAATAGGGGGCCTTTCAGGGAGGCATAATGACATTAAACAGAAGTGCAGTGGTAGTTTACAGCAAGATAGATTCTTGTTCAGTGAATATACCAATTTAATTGTAAGCTTAGTGTTTGAGAAGAAAATGGCAGGAAATTTAAATAAATAAAGAGATGGGCAGGGAATAAAAAGCTAGATTAATGAATTTGAACTTCATCTTGAAAAAAATGGGTTCCCATGTCTTCAGAGAATGGCAAAAGCAAAAATTATTTTTTCCCCATCCCTCAGGTTTTCCTCAGCACCAGAAGAGGGGCTTGGATCCTCAATCGTGTAGCAGACTATGGATATCCTTTTGATGTAGTTCTCTTATCTCGATATAATAGTTTGCTGAAGAAGATTGTTGGTCAATCAGCAGCAAATAGATATTTGGAAAAAAAGATTAACCAAAGGTTTAATCATGAAATGTTTGGCCTGAAGCCTAAACACAGGTATGTTCCAAGGCTTGGAGTTGGCAGTGATAGCCAAGGCAAAGTATAAGGGCTGTTCCCACAGGCTAACAGTAGACCTTACCTCTACCTGTACATGAAGCAGATGCAGAGTCAGAAATCAGATTTCTACCTTGCCCCCACAGAAGTCCAAGATCTACTGGTCTGTAATTTTCCGTCTAGAATTCTCCTTGGCATTAACCATTTTATCATTCTCCAAGGTACAAATTCTTTTTACATGGTGCCCAACAGCAACAATAAAATGGTAGTAGAGGGCAGTTCATCCTTCATTCATCCAACAAACAACTGAGCATCTGAGCCAAGCATTAAACTGGCTTGAGAATACTGAGACTGAAGACTTAATAGTAATACTAACATCTTACCTTTTTGAAGACTTGATATAAGACAAACACGGTGCTAAATGTGTTAACATGCATGATCTCATTTAGTCCTCACAGTAGCCCTATAGGTTGGTACTATTTTGATCTCCATTTTGCAAATATAAAAATTGACACAGAGAAACTAACTTGCCCAAGATCACATAAGTAATAAATGAGAAGTGGCTAGTTCTTTAAATACGCTAACAAGAAGACAGGTGGTAGAATATGATATGATAAGAGAAATGCATGGAGATTGTGAAGGACAGAAGTCTTCACACAGAAGTGGACTGTGATGGCATTTCCAGAGGGTGATTTTAAATACTTTTTACTCCCTCCAACTTTTAATTTCTTTATTGTTTAGATTTACTTGCTGTAAAATAGTAAGTATAATGAACACCCATATACCCTTCATTTAGACTGACCTATTATTAACAGTTCACTATATTTCCTCTCTCTCTTTCTGGAGGTATACAGATCCATACATATATAGTATCTATATATACATGCATGTATTCATACATTTTTTTTACCTGAACTATCTGAGAGTAACTACTTGTAGTCAATAAGATACTTTACCCTACATTCTTTAGCATACATTGCCTAAGAAAAAGGGCATTCTTTTACATAAACATAATATGTTATGTTTAGCAAACTGAACATTGATAAAGTACCATTATCTATTGAAAATACATTGCATATGCAAATTTCCCAAATTGTTTCAATAATATTTGTAGCTTTTTGTTTTTTGGCCACACTGCATGGCTTAAAGTGCAGAGTCCTAACCACTGGACCACCAGGGAATTCTTTGTAGCTTTTTTATTTTTAAAATCTAGGATTCTGTCAAGTATTACACCATTGCATTCAGCTGTCATATCTCTTTAATCTCTCTTAATCTGAAATAATTCTCTTCTTTTAACATGGATTTTTGTTTTTTTTTAAAGAATTGAAGCCATTTGTTTTGCAGGAATGCTCTAAAGTTGGACTTTTATAGTTGTTCTTCCTCTATTATATTTAGATTAAATGGTTCTGGTGTAAATACTCATAGGTTGTGTTGTGCCTTCTTGGTGGATCACATCAGGAACCAAATGACCATAGGTTATTGCATATTAATGATGTTAAATTTGATCACATGGATTTGGTAGTAGCTACCAGGTTTCTCTTCTGTAAAGATACTTTTTTCCTTTGAAATTCATCAGTGGGATGATACTTGGAGAGTGTGTTTCCCAACAAACTTTCAGCCATTTATTTGACCCAATTATGGAAACTGTAGCATCCAAAACCTTGGGAATCACAAAAATAAACTGAGTCTTTATGAAATAATAGAGGAGATAGTCAAACAAATAGGGTAAGGAAGTAGCATTCTAATTATAAATACAAGGTCTTAGAATAGCAAAAAATACATTATCCTGTAAGACCTGCACATAGTTTGGTTAGGCTAGACTATTATGCAGAGATAGAACAGTGCCTGGGTACATCTCCAGGTTTGCTGGAGATAAATAAAATAAAAAGTTTAGAATGAAGACAGTCCAGAGCCATCATCGAAAGGTTTTAAGCAAGTGAGTGACATAATAATAAATACATTTTTGAACAATCACTCCAAAAATAATGTAGAACACAGATTGAAGGGGCTGGAGCAGGAGACCCTGAAGACAACTGTAACAGTCCGGGTGAAACAGAGAATGAGTAAAACTATTCTGAAGATGTTTAAAGGAGAAAGGGTGGCCTTGGTGACCAGATGTAAGACTCACAGTTCTGTGATTTGGGCAACAGTGTGGAATTGTGGTACTGTTAGTGAAAAAGAATAAGTTTGGAGAGAAAGATGAAATGATGAGGTTAGAATGAGAACAGAATCACAAACCTAAAGGTTTGAGTCAAAGAATTACTAAATGCAGCAAGCCAGTAATACTGTTTAAACAGATCAGTTCCTGAGAAGAGGCCAGCTCTGTCTCTGAACATGACAGGCTGAGGATTCTCAGAGCCTGTTAACACAGTATCCAAGGATTCAGACTGTTTTTAGAAAGGTCCAAATTCTGCAAACCTGTATTATTTTTTGGTCACCTTATCCTATGCTATTTCTGGGAAACACTACTTACCATACCCGGAGGATCTCAAGGTAGTTCATAAAAAACCATATTGATATAAATCCTAAAGTCCTAGGCTGCGGGACCTTAGGCAAGTCACTTAACTTCTTTAGTCCTCAGTTTCCTCATCTATAAAACCTGGATAGTGGTAATTGGCCTGCCTCCTTCATTAGGTTTACATTCATGTATGTAAAATCAATTTATAACTGTAAATTACTATACACATGTAGTTCATTATACAGTTTGGAAAATGATGGTTCAAGTCTACCTTCTGGTTCTTTGAAACTAAAATGAGACTCAATAGGATGCTGATAATACAGTTCTGCAGACTTTCTGACATATGGATAGAAACCACTAGACTGTGGCTTTATTATATCACCAAGAGCATTATTATTCCTTGAGAAACCATACATGTACTTTTCAAAAAGACCATTATTCCCTTACTTCTCCAACATCTTCCCTTTCAGTGCCTCCCACAGTCCAACATCTACTCTGAGATCATCCTTACCTTTATCAAGATGGTATATATTAGACCCTTCCCAAACTTCATGAATAAAGGGAAACTATTGGCATATTGATTAACCACCTCAATCAAAGCAGAATTTTACTTACATGGTATTGATTTCTCTCTCTCTCACGATCTCTCTTGTTTCTCCTTCTTTATCATCATTCACAGAGTTTTCAGTCAGCATCCAACAGTAAACGATGACCTGCCAAACCGTATAATTTCTGGCTTTGTGAAGGTGAAAACAAATGTGAAGGAATTCACAGAGACAGCAGCCATATTTGAGGATGGCTCCAGGGAGGATGACATTGATGCTGTTATCTTTGCTACAGGCTATAGCTTTGTATTTCCTTTTCTTGAAGATTCTGTCAAAGTAGTCAAAAACAAGGTATCCCTGTATAAAAAGGTCTTCCCTCCTAACCTTGAAAAGCCAACTCTTGCAATCATAGGCTTGATCCAGCCCTTGGGTGCCATTATGCCCATTTCAGAACTCCAAGGACGCTGGGCCACTCAAGTATTTAAAGGTAAGTGACCATGTAAGATGATTACCTAATTACTTAGCAGTATATTTAATTATGTTTATGTTCTTGCTTGTAAATAGTCAGATAGTATGTATGATTATAACAGTGCCTGGCACAACGTTAGTGCTCAAAAATTAATTTTCGAGGGAATATAAAGTAGTAATTTATAACCATGGACCTATAGCAAAATCTCCTGGAAAATTTTCCCAAAATAGGCATGTTTTGCTGGTGGTATTTAGTTAATAAGTCTGAGATGGAGCTGATATAAAATCATTGAGAAAATGTTCTCCAGGTGTTTACAATGTGCACTCCAGATTTAAATCCACTCTTCTAGATTTTAGAAAACTGATACATATTTGTGAATCAATATTCTTTTATTATAGTTAGAGAAAGTCAAATATAGAAGTGTGTGACTTGATTTCAGCAAAAAATTAAGACCAAGTAAAGACTAGTCCAGAATATAGAAGATTCAGCCACTCAAATTCTCAGTTTTCCCCCTTTATATTCCCTTTTTCAGGAAGTTTTGGCTACGAGACCATGAGAAAAACTTTGGGGTTTGGGATAGTAGGTTCAGTATGAATTAGCAGAATAATGTGGCTTCTAAAAGACTTAATTATACCTGACATCATTAAAAAACTGTAATACCCTGGAATTTACAACATTCTTCTCTAAACTGGTCAGACCACACCTAAAGATATTTTAAAAGTGAAACTGGAGTACATTAAAAGGAGAGAGATAAGAATGGTTAAGGGATTTGAAAATGTGCCATTTGAAGTACTAACAAGGAGCTGACATATAAAATCAGGGATCAGATCTGATAGACAGAGTACCTGAATAACTATGGATGAAGGTTCATAACATTGTATAGGAAGCAATGATCAAAACCATCGCTAAGAAAAAGAAATGCAAAAAGGCAAAATGGTTGCCTCAGGAAGCCCTAAAAATAGCTGAAAAAAGAAGAGAAGTGAAAGGCAAAGGAGAAAAGGAAAGATATACCCATCTGTATGCAGAGTTCCAAAGACTAGCAAGGAGAGATAAGAAAGCCATTCTAAGTGAACAATGCAAAGAAATAGAGGAAAATAATAGAGTGGGAAAGACTAGAGATCTCTTCAAGAAGATTAGAGATACCAAAGGCACATTTCATGCAAAGATGGGCATAATAAAGGACAGAAACAGTATGGACCTAACAGAAGTAGAAGATATTAAGAAGAGGTGGCAAGAATACACAGAAAAACTATACAAAAGATCTTAATGACCTAGACAACCACAATGGTGTGGTCACTCACCTAGAACCAGACATCCTGGAGTGTTAAGTCGGTGGGCCTTAGGAAGCATCACTACAAACAAGGGTAGTAGAGGTGATGGAATTCCAGCTGAGCTATTTCAAATCCTAAAAGATGATGCTTGAAAGTGCTGCACACTCAATAGGCCTGCAAATTTGGAAAACTCAGCAGTGGCCACAGGACTGGAAAAGTTCAGTTTGCATTCCAATTCCAAAGAAGAGCAATGCCAAAGATTGTTCAAACTACCACAAAATTGCACTCATTTCACATGCTAGCAAGGTAATGCTCAAAATCCTTCAAGCTAGGCTTTAACTGTGTGTGAACCAAGAAATTCCAGATATACAAGCTAGATTTAAAAAAGGCAGAGAAACCAGAGATCAAATTGTCAACATTTGTTGGATCACAGAAAGAGCAAGGGAATTCCAGAAAAACATATACTTCTGCTTTATTGACTATGCAAAAGCCTTTGACTGTATGAAAAGTGAAAGTTTCTCAGTCATGTCTGACTCTTTGCGACCCTATGGAATTCTCCAGGCCAGAATACTGGAGTGGGTATCCTTTTCCTTCTCCAGCAGATCTTCCTAACCCAGGGATCGAAGCAAGCTCTCCTGCATTGCAGGCAGATTCTTTACCAGCTAAGCCATCAGGGAAGCCCCTTTGACTGTGTGGATCACAACAAACTGTGGAAAATTCTTAAAGAGATGGGAATACCAGACCACCTGACCTGCCTCCTGAGAAATCTGTAGGCAGGTCAAGAAGCAACTGTGAGAACCAGACATGGAACAACAGACTGGTTCCAAATTGGGAAAGGAGCATGTCAAGGCTGTATATTGTCATCCTGCTTATTTAACTTATATGCAGAGTACATCATGCAAAATGCCAGGCTGGATGAAGCACAAGCTGGAATCAAGATTGTAGGGAGAAATACCAATAACCTCAGATATGCAGATGACACTGCCCCAGTGGCAGAAAGTGAAGAAAAACTAAAGAGACTCTTGATGAAAGAGGAGAGTGAAAAAGTTGGCTTAAAACTCAACATTCAAAAAACTAAGATCATGGCATCCAGTCCCATCCCTTCATGGCAAATAGATGGGGAAACAATGGAAACAGTGACAAACTTTATTTTCTTGGGCTCCAAAATCACTGCAGATGGTGACTGCAGCCATGAAATTAAAAGACGCTTGCTCTTTGGAAGAAAAGGTATGACAAACCTAGACAGCATATTAAAAAGCAGAGACGTTACTTTGCTGACAAAGGTCCGTCTAGTCAAAGCTATTGTTTTTCCAGTAGTCATGTATGGCTGTGAGAGACCATAAAGAAGGCTGAGTGCTGAAGAATTGATGCTTTTGAACTGTGGTGTTGGAGAAGACTCTTGAGAGTCCTTTGGACTGCAGGGAGATCCAACCAGTCCATCCTAAGGGAAATCAGTCCTGAATATTCATTGGAAGGACTGATGCTGAAGCTGAAGTTCCAATACTTTGGCCACCTGATGTGAAGAAGTGACTCACTGGAAAACAGCCTGATGTTGGGAAAGATTGAAGACAGGAGGAGAAGGGGATAACAGAGGATGAGGTGGTTGGATGGCATCACTGACTCAATGGACATGAGTTTGAGTAAGATTCAGGAGTTGGTGATGGACAGGGGAGCCTGGCATGCTGCAATTCATTGGGTCACAAAGATCGGACACGACTGAGTGACTAAACTGAACTGTTTCAGAGTTCTTATAAAAATTACAAATTCTTCCCTGGTGAAGACCTCATAGTAGTAGAGAAAAAGAAACAATGGTGATAGATGGGAGTGAAAACTAGTACAGCCACTATGGAGAACAGTGTAGAGATTCCTTAAAAAACTGGAAATAGAACTGCCATATGACCTAGCAATCCCACTGCTGGGCATACACACTGAGGAAACCAGAATTGAAAGAGACACATGTACCCCAGTGTTCATTGCAGCACTGTTTACAATAGCCAGGACATGGAAGCAACCTAGATGTCCATTGGTAGAAGAATGGATAAGGAAGTTGTGGTACATATACACAATCAAATATTACTCAGCTATTAAAAAAAATGCATTTGAGTCAGTTCTGATGAGGTGAATGAAACCGGAGCCTATTATACAGAGTGAAGTAAGCCAGAAAGAGAAACACCAATATAGTATATTATCACATATATATGGAAGTTAGAAAGACAGTAAAGATGACCCTATATGCAAGACAGTAAATGAGACATAGATGTAAAGAACAGGCTTTTGGACTCTGTGGGAGAAGGAAATGGTGGAACGATATGAGAGAATAGCATTGAAAATGTATATTACCATATGTAAAATAGATGACCAGTGCAAGTTCGATGCATGAAGCAGGGCACTCAAAGCTGGTGCTCTGGGACAACCCAGAGGGATGGGGTGGGAGGGAGGTGGGAGCAGAGTTCAGGATGGTGGGACACATGTACACCCATGGCTGATTCATGACAATGTATGGCAAAAACCACCACAATATTGTGAAGTAATTAGCCTCTAGTTAAAATAAATAAATTTTTAAAAAAGATTAGCAAAAAAAAAAAAAACTTTTCCAGATTTCCCCAAAGTTCTTTCATTTCTCTTCTTTTTCTTTTAATTTTTTGGCCACACCATGGGGCACATAGGATCATAGTTCCCCAACCAGGGATCAAACCCATGCCCCCTGCGTTGGAAGCATGGAGTCCTAACCATGGGGACTACCAGGGACGTCCCAGAGTTCTTTCATTTCTTAATTCTTTAATTCTATCCAGTAGATTGTGTATTTCTTGAGCACTGGACCAGCAATCCAATGCAAGTAACCCATTAAGTTGGCTAATTCCAGTCATATTAAGTGGGTTTTTTAAGTGGGTCAATTAAGTAAGAGGAAAAAGTTGCATTAAAATATGCCACAGTACCTTAGTATACTTTGAACAAACAACTGAGACTCTTCCAGAATAAGTGAACTATTGAGAGGACTAGGGAAAAAGCATTTGGAAGATTCTGCATTATGGCTGTGGGATTAAGGGATTTTAGGGGAATTGTATAAAAAGCCCAGTTATCTATGCTAGCAGAGCTTAGTGCTAATTCCTCCAGCTTTCAACACTGGAAGAAGGAATCATCAGAGAATCCCTATAAACTTATCAAACATCCAAAAGGAACCCTGAGTTTGTTCTAATACTCATATCCCTACACTCTACCTAGCAAATTCTTGCCTTTCTCATCTCTGAATTCTACCCTCACTGTGCTGATTTTATGCCTTTAGAATCAGCTAGTTTCACACATGCCCAGCTCAGCCTGTCTTCTTGCCTGACGTGTTCTTTCCTAACAAGTCCCATTTCCTTTCTTCCTTTGTTCTCTAGAATTACTATTCTCTTGTTAAGGAAATATTACACCCTTTTGTAGAACACTGAGTTCTACTGCTTGCTTGCCTTGACCAAAATCTAGTTTTCTTTTTATCTTTGTCTCTTTTGTAACCTCTCAAGAGACCTTGCAAGGATTGCACTTTCATTTAGTAACTTTCTTCCTTTGCAAACCATATGAAGTGAAACAATTCTCTGGATCACAAGGAGGCATTATGTCATAGCATGGCATTCAAGTTCCTTCACAAGTTACTTCACATGCTGGTTTTTCAGGCCATCTTTCACTACTTTTACCATATATCCTATCATCTTCTAGATCCTATTTAGATGCATCTTCTAGATCCTATCATCTTCTAGATCTTCTAGCTGACTTAACCCACTGAGAGCAAACATAGCTCTTTGTTTTTCTGGCTGCCTTGGGTCCTCCTTGCAGGGCACAGGCTTCTCTAGTTGTGGTGTGAGGGCTTAGCTGCTCTGCTGCATGTGGGTTCTGAGTTCCCTAACCAGGGATTGAACCCACATCCCCTGCATTGGAAGACAGATTCTGAACCACTAGACCACCAGGGAAGTCCCCTGAAAGTTCTTTAAATAAAAGAATCAAGTTTGTTTGCCTTTGTCTTCCAAGACTAGACCAATGCCTAGCACATGGGAGGCAGCTAATAAATCTCTATTCAATGAATGCAAGTTCAGCTTTGGTGGTTTTCTGAACTTTCCAGTTGTTGTTCAGTCCCTAAGTCGTGTCTGACTCTTTGCAACCCCATGGACTGTGGCACGCTGGGCTTCACTTTAGAGTTGGGTTTAGAGTTGGATACAACCAAGGGAGGAAATGAACAGGCTTTTTCTACACAAATAAGGAGTAAAGGGGAAGGCAAAAAAAAGACAGAGAAAACAGCAGAAGCAAAGGCATAAGGTCTGAGTACCTTTAGCGTTGGCACAAATTTTCTATATGGCATAGTACCTATAAGTTCTGGGCATAAAGCTAATCATTGAAATTGAGAGTTTCCATGTTAAGTGCTTTCTTACCTTTGTCTAGCCATGTCCTTGGTGTTGGTGTTAAATTCCTGCTACTGGAACTCTGTGCATTGGTGCATAAATTTATTTGTTAAGACTGGGATTATGAGTTGCCTTTGACCTTACCCCTCACTCTCACCAAATAAAAAAGTTTATAAAGTAAGGTTTATTTCCCAAGGGACTTAAGGCATAAAACAGATTGACAGTTTATTTTTATTTCCTTCTCTCTGTGGTATAAAGCCCCTTTGTGATTGAGTACAATTACAGATGTGTTTCCCATCATCTTCCCACCCTTTTACTTTGAACTTAATTTTTCATACACTTTTTTATCATTTTCTTATGTCCATATCTCATTTCCCATTTGAAAGACTATTTTAGGGACGAGGCAGATATTGGTTGGAAAGCACATTAGGAGAAATTTCTTCCAAAGACAAAGTGGGAAAGAGTAAGCTACCAAAGTTAATATGATTATATTCTGGTGGTGGAAGGGTAAAGTGATCAACTGAATATGTAACTTCCTTGGTACAGAAAACTAGCCTGTATTCCCTCAAATTCTCTAGAGCATGGTAATTGTTAATAGGATTATTATTCATACTGAGGTAATTTTACACTTAAATTTTTTATTTTTTTTTCTCTTTAGGGTTAAAGACATTGCCCCCACAAGGTGAAATGATGACAGAAATAGCTAAGGTTCAAGAGGCTTTGGCAAAACAGTAAGAATTCTCCCAAGTTTTCCCACTCAATTCTTAATAAGGGCAATGTTGTACTATATTTATTTTCCTTGTGTTCATTTAAGGATTTAGATATTTTGAAGGAAAGGAAATAATAGTTTGTGACAACGGAGTATAGAAATACCACTAAATGATTTGAGTATGGATAGGAAAGGAGAGAAGAGCTTAAGAAAATCCTATGTGTAGGGCCTAAAAGAAAAGTCAAGTAGTAAAAAGCACATGGAGAGAAAACCAGGTATGTTATTTTGGCAAGAATTACTTGAAGGGCTGTTACAGCTGCCAGAGAAAGGAGGGGCAGCGATGAATTAATGAGGGGTAGGTACGGTCAAATTACAAATTTGTAGGTAGACTTGCAGATCTGCAGAGGTCATTTGCTGGCTGGCCTGTGACAGCATACTCAGGCCACATTTGCTGTTGGTATGAACAGTCTATATGATCTGGGAAGGTGGTGCTCAGTGCTTATTTAGCAATGAGTTTCAGAACTTAAACTTATTCACTGGGTGATTTTTATTTGAACAAAGTTGATGTTGATCAAGTCCTAAAAGTCAGAGGCACAATCACCCCATGCCCAAAGACATGGTTTTCTTCAGTTATGTGATTATACCAGTGTAACTCTCCCTTCTGGGAGGAAGAGAAAGTTTTTATTTAACCCTGACACCCTTTCTAGGTGCCCTCCTGTTTTCCTCCTTCCTTTCACTGCCAAACTTCAGCAGTATAAACATTCTGTATTACATGCTCTAAATTGGCACCCTTTTCTCCTTCCATTGTAACTTCCATCCTTATTCCTGCAATTGCTCTCTTAAGAGTTATCTATGGACAACTTAATTTTTCTTTCACTACTGTTTGGTGCTTTTTAACACCTCTTCCTGCTTGGAGTGCTTTCTTTCCCTGGCACTATTTATTATTTTCATTATTAATTATATTTATTATTGGGCTTCCTAGGTGGCTCAGATGGTGAATAATCTGCCTGCAGTACAGGAGACTTGAGTTCCATCCCTGGGTTAGAAAGACCCCCTGGAGAAGGGAATGGCTACCCACTCCAGTATTTTTGCCTGGAGAATTCCATGGACAGAGGAGCCTGGTGGGCTACAGTCCATGGGGTCACAATATTATATTATTTGACTATTTTATTATACTTATTATTTAGTATGTATTTATTATCAATTATTATATTTACATCAGGTATTATATTTATTATATTATTTAAATATATTTATTATTACCCCATCTCAATTTTCCTCCTTCCTTCCTTTGACTTACCTTCCGACTGTGAGCAGTGCCTAAGGATAATATTTAACCTTTATTGAGGGTCAACTTTGTGCAAATACTAAGTGTTTTACATGTATGAGTTTATTTAATTCTTGAAACAATCCTACAAAGCAGGTACTAGTGTATCTCTGTGACATCTCCCTGAATACTACAGTTGTTGACCCACTACATGCATGTAAACCCATGAGCTAACACAACACCCATAAGGGAAAACTCTCAAATTCTTTCCTGTCTTACCTTCTTCTATTCTAAACTTTAGTCCCATGTCATAAATTCCTTTGCCTATCTATCAGTTCCTCAGGAATTCTATCTTACCAGTTCTATTTCAAATTTATTTTCTATCATTTTTCCTGCCCTGTTTTTTATAGTTTCTTTTGGCATTTCTATTTTTATTAAAAAAATTTTTTTTTGGCTATACAGCATGTGGGATCTTAGTTCCCTGACCAGTGATTGAACCCATACCCTCCTTTCCTCTTCCCCCCTCCCCCTGCATTGGAAGTGCAGAGTTTTAACCACTGGGCTGCCAGGGAAGTTCCTTTTCCTGTCCTTTTTGGATTTCTAGTAAGCCCATCTAATCACAGTTAACCTGACTTGACTTTTCTCTTAGTTTTTTTCTGCCCCACTGTTCTTTCTTTTTTTATAGAAAGTAAAAAGAGAAAGTCATCAGTTAGCTCTTAAATCCCACTGGCTTCCCAGATGGCACTAGTGGTAAAGAACCCACCTGCCAATGCAGGAGATATAAGAGATGTGGGTTCAATTCCTGGGTTGAGAAGATCCCCTGGTGGAGGGCATGGCAACCCACTCCAGTATTCTTGCCTGGAGAACCCCATGGACAGAGGAGCCTGGTGGGCTACAGTCCATAGCGTCGCATGACTGAAGCGACTTAGCATATACTTTTCACATAGGTATTGTACTGTTACCACATTTTCTCTCCCAAAAGCCCATTTTGCTCTTCAAATCTGCACTTGGTGTAATCATTCCATCTGGTTCCATTTGGAGGAAACTTGTAGGATAAGTCATCCTCCCCCTCCTTTCAGGATTCCAAATTAATGCTGGTTCTGGGAAGTCCTGCTCTTTGGACTCTACCATCACCTCCCTCATAAAATAAGTGAGGATCCCAAACTTGAGAATTTTTGTGGTGGGTTCTTTCTGACAACATCAGAGTCCTCTGTATCTCGATCTGCTACGTTTGCTTCCATATATCCACCCTTATTTTCTACAACATGCTTCCTCTACTGTAGGTAGTGCCCATGAATATTCTGTGCTCACATTCTATACTCATTCTTGCTTTCTTCCTTCACTGTGCCATTCCCTTGACTTGTAATACTCTCCTCTTTGTTCGTTCTTTATCTATTTCTTCCATATCCTTCAAGAACTTATCATAGCTCTGTTTCAACTACCCTCCTCTCCATTTCTATTTATCAGCCTAAAACCACATGATTTAACAAAGTCTTAAATTCTTCTCTGTTTCATGTGTACCTCTCTACTCCAATAGATTATAAGGTCCTTAAGGATAGAGACAGGGTCTTAGCTTTCTTCTCTGTTTTCTACAGTTCCTATCCCAATACTGAGCCAATAGCAGATACTCAGAAAGCACTGATTGATTGAATTGTTAATAGGCCATGGTTTCTGTCTTCTCTGCTTCAGGTTTGTGGAAAGCCAACGCCATACCATTCAGGGAGACTATATAAGTACCATGGATGAGCTTGCTGATCTGGTGGGTGTCAAGCCCAATCTGCTGTCCCTGGCCTTCACTGACCCCAAACTGGCATTCCAGTTATTTTGGGGACCCTGTACTCCAATCCAGTATCGTCTACAGGGTCCTGGAAAGTGGGATAGAGCTCGAGAAGTGATCCTCACCACAGAAGATCGTATCAGGAAGCCACTAATGACAAGAATAGTTGAAACCGATAATTCCAAGATTTCGACAATAACAATGGCCAAGTTTATGTTGGCTGTTGTTTTCTTTGCTATGGTTATAACCTATCTGTAGCTGTTCCATTGTCATGGTCCCAGTTTTCTTTGAAAGCTGAATCTGCAGATGCCTTTGGAGCCTGACAAGACTGAACAATGTTCATTGTCCAAAAAGAGATATTTCATATTGTCCAGAAATCTACTTTTCTTTCTCTTTCCAAAGCATTCATTCTTTTTCCTCTTTTCCCTACAATGAAATCTCAGCATTTCATTTGTATTGACTTACTTCCCTTACTCTTATGACTCATTACATTTTCCTTCCAGTAATTCCTGGACCATGAGCTTAGATACTCTTTTAATCATCTTTGTTTCTCCTTAGCAGAATTCCTGGCATGTGGCAGGTGCTTAATAAATGTGTGCCGTCATTTATCAAATATCATGGTGGGGAACATAAGCCAATATCTACATAAGAAATGGGTGACTCCATGTAACTGTGCTTCTGACAGTATTTGGTTTTCTACTAGAAGCTGAATCTTTTGTTGTTTTTAATATATAACTAAGTTCATTTTTCCTGAGAGATAAGAGGAAAAAAAATTGTCTTATAACTGTTGTACACACCTAAGATAAGATATATAGATACTTAAACATTTTATTTCACTATCTATTCACTAGTGTATCTGATAGCTGGTCATTTTTCTTCTTTTCCCCTAAGCAACACATCTCTATTTTCTCAACAAGAACTACCTTCAACTATCTAGGCTCATGGATTGTTCTAATAATCTAGCAGCTGCCAACAGGCTAAACCTGACTGGAAAAACTGGGATTTTAAATTAGCAGTCCAGTCCTTTTTGATCTCTCAGTTCTCATATTAGGATACAAGACTTTATCTTAGGAACTGTGATAAGTTGCCATCAACTGCTATAGTATGACCTACAAATGTGACTGGATTTCCCCCCCCTCCCCCAACTCCTACTTTCTCCCCTCCATACCCTCCCACACACAGAAAGTCAAGGTAATTCAAAGAGGTCAGTTATGTAATAAATTAAAATTGATGATAACTAAATATAGGTGGTATTCTACTTTTAACAGTTATGTCAGAAATTGCAAGTTATGAAAAACAAAGCAAATGAAATGGAAATCAGGGACTCCAGTTTATGTCCAAGAGCTGCTGTTGAGTCTGTTTTCTCATCCATAGAAGTGTTGCTCTATTCTTGTGCCTCAGAGAAGTTAACTCAATGTTAACTGTTGGGCAAACTGAATTTCATGAAGAAACATGCTGGATGTACCCATCAAGTGTGTGTTCGTAAAGATGCTGTTGGGTAATACATTTTGGGATTGCTGTCTATGACTTAACAAAAGAATAAGTTTGAACAGCTGAAGAAACATTAGAAATTATCTGCTTTCCCAATATAAATAAGAGAACCAGAAATGTGAGAACTACAACTTCTTCTTAATCATAAAACTATTAATATTTGTACAATTCCCTGCTATTTTGCCTGTGGAAAAACTTCTTGAGAATGAGAAGGTCTTTTGCCTTCCATAATTCTTGTGATACTTGGGATTTATCTTCCATTAAAATGGACCTAGTATTTTTTTTTTTAATTGGAGTAGTTGCTTTACAATGTTTTGTTAGTTTCTACTGTATAGCAAAGTGAATCAGCTATATGTATACATATATCCCCTTTGTTTTTGGATTTTCTTCCCTATTTAGGTTACCACAGAGCACTGAATAGAGTTCCTTTTGCTATACAGTAAATTCTCTAAAATGGACCTAGCATTTTCTAATCTGCAGACTATTCTAGTGCAAGAGTAAATGAAAAGCCACTTCTTTTTCATTTCCTTCTTTTAACATATACATTTTCCTCTTTTAGCATGTAAGTTTGTTGAATTAACAGTCCTTTACAACATAATTCCTAGTTATCAGTAATAAATACTCCACTTTCCTCTTTAAATAAAAAGCATGTAGTTCTAAGTTCATTGACTCTCTCACTTTATGTATGATATGAAAGTTTACCAAAAAAAAAAGCCCATCATCGTAAACCAAGCTAAAAGTCAGATGTGAATAGGAAAGTGAACTCAAAACAAACTCAAGATACAAAGCCCTAGTTACTGATTTTGTTGTCGTTGTTGTTTAGTTGCTAAGTCATGTCTGACTCTTTTGACCCTATGGACTGTAACCCACCAGGCTTCTCTGTCCATGGGATTTCCCAGGCAATAATACTGAAGTGGGTTACCATTTCCTTCTCCAGGGGATCTTCCCAACCAGGGATCAAATCCACATCAGTGTCTCCTGGATTGCAGGTGAATTCTTTACTGCTGAGTCATCTGGGAAGCCCCAGTTACTGATTAATACTCATCAATTTACCACATCTTTCTTTTGTAATTATATTAAAAAGTAATATCATTTTCCTAATTATATTGTACAATAAAAGAGAGAGAGAGAGAAAACTTTCTTGTAGTACCAGAAAGTAAGGAAGTTCTCAAAAAGCAAACTGGTGGGAGTATGTCATAGGGACACAGGAACCAACTGAAAATGGTCCCAGTGGCCAAAGCTGAATAACAGTATAAATAATCTAGTGATCTTGAGTGGCCTAGGCCTGCACGAGCTTGAAGTGGGGTTTTGGTTCCCAGCCAGAGACTGAGGCTGGATCATGATGGTGAAAGCACCAAATCCTAGCCACTAGGCCAGTCGTCAGTGACAAGGCCCTGGCTCTTCAGCTTTGCAGGAAAGAATTCCCACAAAGAGAGAAAGTAGTGAAACCAGTAAAGTACTTATTAGGAAGAAAAGGAGTACCATATGTGTGGATAGATACATAGACAGACTCAGAGAGACAGTCCCTGAGTTGTGCCTTCGTGGCAATTTGAATTATTTTTATGGGCCATTTTTTCCAGTTTCTTTTGGCCAATCATTTTGATTTGCCTGGTTCGGTGTTCATATTTGGTATATCTCAGGATCCTCCTGTGTGTGCCAAGATGGAGTCTATGGAAAAGGCCTATGAGTTGAGCATCCCTTAGCACTCTCCTTCAAGGAGACTTTCTGTGAATGTGTGGTCAGGAGGTCTCCTGACTTCAAGAATAAGAAATACATGGCCTGGGCAGGGCTCAACCTCCTCCCTTAATTGTCCGTATATTCTTGTCTTGGAGTTTCAGTTCACAGGGAATAAATCTCCAATCACTTTACTGGGTGGGGCAGGGACATGGTAATCTACCTCCTGCCTCACTAGTACTGGATTACAATATAAAGTATTTAAAATGCCCATGAGTCCATACTGATATAAATAAGTGATTGAGTAATAAATAGGGCAGAACAGACAAAACTCCCATAGGAAGAATTTTGAACATTTACATAACTACAGTACCCTCAAGGAGTTGAAGCATAATTCCCCACTCCTTAAGTATAGGCTGCAGAGAGTGACTTCCTTCCAAAGAGAACAGTATGAAAAGCGGGGGGAATAACTTTGCAGTGGAGAAATCCAACAAACACTACCTCACCTGGGTGATCAAGATTAACATCAACAGTGAGGTCATGTTGACAGTGTGTATTCTTGATATGATGTGATGAGAAAGGTACTTAACATCTATGGTCTTCCCCCCTAAAACCATAACCCAGTCTACCTGTGAGAAAAACATCAGACAAACCGAAGTTCAAGAATATCTTACAAAATACCTGACCATCTCAAAACTGTCAAGCTCATCAAAGAAAAAGGAAGGTCTGAAACTGCTGTAGTATAGAGGAGCCTAAGGAGACCTGATATTTAAATGCAATGTATCTTGGATGGGTCTTGGAAAATAAAAAGGACAACAAGTAAAAACTGAAGAAATGTTAATAAACTATGGATTTTGTTTAATAACAATGTAGTGATTGGCTTATTGGTTGTGACAAATGTACCACAATAATGTAAAATGTTAACAATAAAATAAATTGGATGTGGGATATACAAGTTCTTCCCAAGTTTTTCTTAAAAACTATTCTAAAAATTTTAAATTATTAAAGAAAAAAGAAACATATTCCTTTGGTTTAGGATTTGACCCAGAGCCATAATCTAGTGGAATTTTCTCAGAGAAGAAGTTATATTGGACAGTACATTCATTTAAATTACTATCTTTTCCCTTGATTAGTCTACAAATAAAGCTGTTTTAATAAAGCACACTATAACTTACTATAGCAAATTTTTTTTCCTTTGCTGAATAAGTATAGGCTACAGTTGCAGAGAGGAGAAAATGGTAATGTAAGGTCAAAAGACACATTTTCTTAAAATACTCAGTTAATTTCTTTCTTGTAGCTAGGTATATTAAGCCAATTGTCTCCACTAGAAAATTGTATGACATATTAATGACAAGTACATTCATGAATGAGATAATTTTACTCAATGTTGGATCTCTGCATTGTTAATTTTATCAATAGTAACATAAAATATACTATATAAACATCCTCCAGACTGCCTATTGGAATTTACCAAAGTGCTGTGTTTTTACCATGCTTCTATATATATTCTCATGCTGTTCCCCCCTCCTGTTACATGTTCCAGCCTACTTCATATTTCACCTTCAAGATTCATTTTATCTGTTATCTCTTCCAGAAATCTCTTGATTTTCAGGATGAAACAGGTGACTTATCTTTATGCCTGCACCACCTTTGGTATATTGCTCAATTATACATGATGAATATCACAGTCACACTACATAATATCAATTGTTTCTCTCACCTAGTTCTTCCTTGAACTAGTAAATTCTTTTGAGGAAGATACTTTATAATTAATTTGTATGTTCCTAGTACCCAGTATAGTGTCTGAAACATAGTAAGACCTCAGTAAATTAGTGATTAGTTAATTAAATAAATTCAACATGGGAGATAACAGTATGAATGAGTTTTTTTAAAAGTAAATAAAATAGTGAATAATACTTTACCATTTTATTAAAAAGTGATCAGGAGATTGAGGGGTTCTTAACACTTTGAAATGTTTGTGGGCCAAGCACGTTCTTCCAGAAAATATTCTTGGATAAATCTTTGATCTGAGTCAGTATGTCATCTCTAATATTCTGTTTGGTTTGAAACACAAGTGATATGTCCTATCTGTA